CACTACACGCGAATTCGACAAAATTGCAAACGATTCAACGATCGTAATTCCTCAGTAAGAAAATAGATTCTACTCGATGTGGAAGGGTTGCTGTCTGCTCTCTCTCTCTCTCTGTCCCGATCCCCTTCTCCTTTCGTCTGAATATCGATCTGCCTTAAACAAACTCGGCTTCGTCCTCCTCCGTTTGTCCGAACGTAATCGACTCGTTCTTCATTTCGTAGAAATCAAGATCTTGCAATTTATTTCGTTCCTAGCGCTATACGCAGCGCGCGCGCGTTATTTGTCACGCGTGCGTTATCAAGTGCGTTTCAAGTCGTGGAGAGATTCGTTGGTCGCAGAGAGCGTGACAGAGCGTCGAGTCGGATCGAGTCGGATTTGACATTTGCGACTCGATCGGTCGACTACTGGAAGGAAGAGGTAACGAAACGAGGTAGGATGCCGTCTCGAACGAAAGAAACGCGGCAACGTACTTACCTGCGACAGTTAGCGTTGCATTGCGACTCGGAACGGAGCCTGCTTGATTTCTCGCAACGCACCAGTAAACTCCGCCGTCTTGTTCCTTCTTTCCGTGCATCACTCGTAAGAAGAACAGAGATCCCGTAGGAAGAAGAACGCGATGAGACTTTGCATCTCCCGGTGATGTTTGAACCAGTTCACCGTCCTTGTACCACTCGATCACCGGCTGAGGTTTACCTTCCGCCTTGCAATTCAACGTTACCGGTTCATTCTTGGCCACTATTATATCCGAAGGATGTTCCGTTATACGCGGTGATCTCAACTGCCCTGAAACCAAAATATCCATCGATTCGTATTCGTACATTAAAGAAGACGGGCAGACTTTACTCGGGTGCGAAAGTAGCAAAAAAAGCAAAGATATCCGATTTCGTCTGATTTTCTATTTCCTCTCTGTGCATCGTCGTCATCGTCATCGTCATCGCCGTTACATCGTCGTTTACATTCGAAAAGAAGGCAAATCTATATATCTGTACGCATATGCGTACAGATCTACTACCGCGTCAGCCTGTAAGTTTTACTTACGTTCGATTCGGGCTTCGCTACAGACGCACGTGCAAGCGTGCGATACTATTTAGGTCGGTTGCGATTCGACAATGTACAACGTAGCCTCTAAATTGTTGGTCGTACGATGGGACGATAGACACGCTTCGCGTTACCTGCTTCAAACTCCATGCTCGAACGAAGCTATTTCAACTAGAATCCCGATATCGCTAGAGGGATTGTAAAATATTCTTGGAACGCATAACAGATACAACGTACAACCTATAGACCGCGAGTAGCAGTCTACGATCGCTTCGCGCAGCGTTGCGCAAATTGCGTACTCGAACCTGAAGCTTTACGTCTACCAAGTAAAATTACCCGAGAAATGTTTCGCGTCACGCGTAACTCGACTCGCGTTTGCTCAAATTCCCAGATACGTCTCCCAGCAGCCTCCTCCTCCTCCCTTCCTTCCGTCTCAATTAACAGATTCCCAGTTTCAAAGTACACGCCTTTATTCCACTCTTCGATCGCGAACGATTTAGCTTCGTGTTTATCACGACGTTGAAAGTAGTACTAACAACGTAGAAGAAGAAAGGCAACAGCGTTTCCTACCTTTCCGTACGAGTACGGTGTAAACGTAAATTACGATACGACGCTACAGAAACAATATTTTATCATTTCAGAGCACATAGGTACGTACGTACGTAGGTTAGACACGTTGGCAAACCGATAAGAAAACCTAGTTATATCGCAGCTAGTTATATACACCTACGTGTGAGAAAACGCGGTGGGTCAAAATGTTACAGCTGTACGATCTACGATACGCAACGTAAGAAAGTTGATAAAACTGGAACAGCCAGTTTTTTACACGACTTTTACACGCATACTCGGGAATAACCTGGAACAACGTACGTGTCGTCGATCAGACGAGTTTGGGGGAACGGAATACTTTTCACGTTGTCGTTTAGTTATTCAACGCGTTACGAAAAACGTCGAAACACACGATCGACCAACGGTAGAGGTAGTAGCAACCAGCACTTGCTTCTTGCCGTAACGAAGAAAGAAGAGCGCAGAGGACTTTTTTTTTTTTTT